GAGCTAGAGACCACAGGAGCCAGCAGGTGGCGTGGTGGTTAAGACACTAGGCCTGGACTCCCACAGGTCCAACCACAGTTTGGTCCCAGACCTGGTGCCTTGCTTTCCCACTCCCTCTCTCTCTCTGACCAAATTTTTAAAAAATAGTAATGATAATAAATAAGATCAAAATAATTATAAAAAGAGAATTTTAATTAAGATACTAAAAGAATGCAGGAGCCAGCAGGTGGCGTGGTGGTTAAGACACTAGGCCTGGACTCCCACAGGTCCAACCACAGTTTGGTCCCAGACCTGGTGCCTTGCTTTCCCACTCCCTCTCTCTCTCTGACCAAATTTTTAAAAAATAGTAATGATAATAAATAAGATCAAAATAATTATAAAAAGAGAATTTTAATTAAGATTCTAAAAGAATGCAATAATTTTTAAAGAATTATTTAATTTTATTAATTATTATTTTTTTTTATATTTGATCACAGACAGAGAGAAAGGTAAAGTAAGAAAGCAAGCCACCAGGTCCAAGACTTAAATGGCAGTTGGCCATGTGGTAGCCTAGCACCTTAACCTCCATGCCACCTGCCAGCCCCGAGAAGACAGTAAGTTTATTTATTTTTTTTTGAGAGTTTTTTTTGCTATAGGGTGCATGTGCTCGCCAGAAAGAGAGAGACAGAGAGACAGAAAGTGAGAAATCACTCCCTAGGAGGGATGGCCATGGGATCTTGGGCATGCATGCACTCGTGCCTAGCGTGAGTTTAAGCCACCGGGTCTGGGACTCGAACCACAGTCGGCTACATGGGAGTTCAGCAACATAGCCATTATGCTAACTGCTGATCCTAAGACAGTAAAAGTTTTTAAAGATGCCATCAAACTATTATTGAGATAGTTTCATAAACGTATTTGGCACATATTAGTAAAAATTAGTATTTCTATTGAGATTAACTTTAAATAATTCCTTGACTATCTCTTTAAAAGTTAAAAATATACTTACTCCACGTCCAAGCAATTTTACTCACAGGTATTTACCCAAAAGGAGGGATAAAAAAAGATTTATACAAAATGGTATGTAGTAGCTTTATTTATAATAGACAAGAAATGAGAAATGATGAGCCAACAGTGGTTAAGGTGCTAGACTCTCACATGGTCAATTATGGTTGAGTCCCAGACCCAGCGGCTTAAAAGTTATGCCGGGTAAGGGTGTGTGTGTTGTGTGTGTGTGTGTGTGTGTGTGTGTGTGTGCGTCTCCAAAATTCCAAGAGGAAAATGGGGGAGAAGGAATTGCAGAATGGCCACTTCCCCTGGAGGGTAATTTCTCATTTTCTCTCTCTCTGTCTCTCCAGCGAGTGCATGCACCCTATAGCAAAAACCTCTCAAAAAAAAAAAAAAAAAAGGAAATGATCAATAAACAAATGGATAAACAAATTGTGGTATACTGATACAATGTAATTGATTCAGCAATAAGAATAGATACATACAACAATATTGATGAATCTCAAAAAAAAAAAAAAAAAAAAAGAGCCAGCCTATGGCCTGGCTGTCAGGGTGGCTGGATTCCACATGGCTGATCATGCAGTTCAAGTCTCTGATCTGGCAGCTTGAGAAATTTGCCAGGTTTGTGCATGCCCAAAGTCCCGAAAGAAAAAATGGAGAAAGGATTACAGTGTGATCATCCCCCAGAGGGTGTGCTCTGTGCTCTCTATATCTCTCTCAAGAAAGTGCATGCAACCCCTGGCAAATTTTAAAAACTAAAAATCTTAAAAAAAAAAAAAAAAAAAAAAAAAAAAAAAAAAAAGTTGATCAAAAGAAAAGAGACAGTGGCACAGAAAAGACACCTTGGCAAAGGTCTATAACCTCGGCAACTCTGGAGGCTGAGGCAGGAGGGCCTATATACAGCAAGATTCTATCTTTCAAAAATAAAAAGTCTTTGGACCAGCAGGTGGTATAGTGGTTAAGGCACTGAACTCTCACATGGCCAACAGCAATCTGAGTCCCAGACCCAAAGGCTTGAAATCATACTGGGCGCATGCACCTGTGCGCCCAAAATGGAGGAGAAAGAATCGTGACATGGCCAACCCCCCGGGGGGCGGGGGGGTGATTTCATGCTTTCAGTCTTTCTGTCTCTGCTGCCAGGTCTTTTTTCACTCCATTTCCCTGTATCTCTTCATTCTTGGAAAGAAGTCTTGCTTTCAGTAGGATCCTTTTTTTTGCCATAGGGTGCATGTGCTCACCAGAAGGACAGAGAGAGACAGAGACAGAAAGTGAGAAATCACCCCCCAAGGGGGATGGCCACGCCGCAATCCCTTCTCTGTTCTCCTCTCGGGGCTCCTGGGCACACATGCACACGCGCCCAGCGTGAGTTTAAGCCACCAGGTCTGGGACTCAAACCGTGGTCAACTACATGAGAGTCCAGCAACATAGCCATTACACTAACTGCTGGTCCCTCAGTAGTATTCTTAAATGTGCCAAGCACTATCTGGGCTTGGGGCCTTTGCACTGGCTCTACTTCAGGCCTGAAATGCTCTGCCTCTCTTCAGCTCCTTTTGCATAGCTAATTCCTACTTGCCATTCAGAACTTGAACACTGATTACCTGACCATTCTTTATCCCCATCCTCAGGTCAAAGTAATCTTTCCACTTACATTCTTAAGGCCCCCCAACACACATCCTTCATAGAATTTATCGGTTTGGCATCTTATATTTTTGCAATTCTGCGACTGAATAGCTCTCTTGCTCATTTCAGAGTAGAATAATCACATATATACTATACACACCCACACACACTACACACACATACACACTACACACACACATACACAGAATTAAATATATATCCAAGATCAGTAGTTCTCATCCGATTCTTAAAGGGGTCCATGACCCCCGGGTAGTGAATAATTAACCCTACTTAAAGAGAAGCCTGGTCCTTGCCCTTGGTTACTGGGAAGCGGTCTCTCGGAACCTAGACCTTCTGCCTGATAGGAGTGTACTGATCTGCTGGGAGCTTTAGCTTCTGGACAAATGCAGTTCATATCTAAGGCTTTGAATCATACTGCATCAGTTCCAGTACCAGAAAGAAACAGAAACTAAAGGTATTAATGTATGGTCTATGGGTGGAGTTAGAGACCACAGGTCAGCCAGGTGGGCAGCATATGATTAAGCCCCACTAAAAAAATCTTCAGACACTGAAAGCTCTGGTAATTTTGTGAATGACAACACGCTGTGTATATTGCCACACACTGTAGCTGGGAGACTCTTACACAACTCGTGAGCTCATGAGGGGCGGATGACAAGAAATTGTATGTTTGAACTCCTTAGATTCTGCCCTGTGTATTTCGTCTTTTGGCAAATTCAAACCTGTATTCCTTTCCCTGTAATAAACTATGGGCATAACTGCTTTCAGTAAGCTCAGTAAATCCTTTCTAGCAAATTAGCAAAACCCTTGAACTTGCTATTGGTTCTGAAAGAGGGCAGACTTACAGGCATTGTCATCTCAGACTCTGCTGATTGGCTACACTCAATGCAACCCGAAAAAGGTTAAAAACCAATAGGCTAAACTAGGAGTTTCTTAGGGGTTGAACCTTATGTCAATAAGATATATAATTTAAAATGTAAGGTATTACATTTTGAAATAAGTCAATACTCTCAGGATACACTCTGTCAATAATAGCAACAGTGTTTATATAATGATAATAATGACTATGATAAAAGCAGTAACCATTATTACTGGATGAGTAAAAGGAAGATTAGAATGAAGACACAGGGCCGGCAGGTGGTTAAGGGCACTGGACTCCGTGGTTCAAGCCTGTACCTGGTGGCTTCCTTTCTCACTCCCCCCCCCCCCTGTCCCTCTCTGGCCAAATTTAAAGAAAGAAAGAAAGAAAGAAAGAAAGAAGAAAGCA